CCCCCCTCCCGCGCCTGCCCGGCCCCTGGCCTCTATGCAACGGGGTCCCCCACACATCCCAGAGCACTCTGTGGAGGTCCCTGGGGCCGTGAATTACTCCCCGGGGGTGATACTCTGCCTCGCCACCGGGTTTTTGCATCCGCAGGCGAGGAAGCAGCGGCTGGAGTTCCCCTACGGCCCGAGACGGGGCTTCCAGTTCCGCAACTGATTTCTGTCTGGACTGGGATGGCTTTACACGGGTCGGTTTAAAGGTGTCTTTCAGCTCTCCTGCCTAGGGGTACCACAGTCCTCTTAGTGCCCGCCGAGACATCTCAGTCCCCGCTCATCTCTGGGTTTAATGCACGTAATGTGTCTGCACCCCTGCTTTGCCTGAGCAGGGCTTTCCCGAAGGTGTCTGTGTGCCCTGAGCCCTTCACTTACCATTTACAAGAAAGCTTTCCTTGTGCAGGATGCTGAGGAAGGGGAAGGAAGGGAACACCCCTCATTTTGGAGATGCCAAAGCCTCCATCTGCTCAGCCACCTGGAGATGGAGGCAGCAATGCACAGATCTGGTTTCTTGGTTCCTGTTTCTATGGGAGAAGCCCTGGACTGTGTCAGCATCCCCTCAGTAGACTGAGTTTAGCTGCAAATTGTTTCAAGAAATGTAGGCAAATAAGAAAACTTTGATCTCCAGCTGCCTGGGCTGGTGTGCAGGGAGTGGGTAAGGCTTCCTGACATCCTGGGCTGTATTACTGCTTTATTTGTCTGTGATCAGTTGTTCATGTTTTGTTTTATGGGAACCATACCGAGGATGTAAATACTGGGTACGGTAAGCAGATGCGAGAAGAAAGAGCCTGGTCGTGGCTATGTTTGGAAGGTGCTGTTGTGCTTAGCTAGTGGGCTGTTAGCAAGATGTCCCTGCACCAGAGCAATGTTGGTGTATCCCCGAGGCCTTACTTGTAAGAGGGGAAAGGGAAGGAGGGAAAAAGCAGAAGGGAAGAAGCGAGGAGCTGGTGTTCACGGCACTCAGACTTTACACTTGTAATCTACCCTTCTGCTGCTAATCTGGCTGTGCTCAGGGAATGCAGAGCAGATCCTACTTTCTTGCCTTGCTCTGAGCCAGACAGCTGGGTCCCAGCAAGAAAAGCTTTCCTGCCTTTGTCTCTCTTTTCTTGTGTCTTTTATTGGAATGCTGGTGTCTCTGGGAGCTCGGTGCTTTCCAGCCCATGGCAGTGGAGCCTGTTGGTGCCCTGGGGAAGCAGGGAGAGGCGTGGGAGCAGCTTGTAAGGCAGCAACAGGCAGTTTGGCTCTTCTTAATAAGGGGAGACTTTTGAAGGGGGTGTTCTGGGAAACATGGTCCTTGCAGAGATGGGACTGTGTGTGAGAACTGCTGGCTTCTGCCAAGGCACTTAACACAAAAGAAAGTGCATGGTTTGTTTGGGGTTACAAATATTTTCCAGCTGAGCAAGTAGATGTTTAGCAGCGGGGAAATGGCCCATTGGGCATTTTGGGGTCTTGCATGCTCACCTTCTGCAGAGGGCCCTATGAGCAGCTTGCAGAAGTCCTTTTTGCTAGAGCTTCTGTGCTGGGAGCTCTCTCAGCCACTGTTTGTCCATGCAGTCCTCATTCCTACATCAGTTTGCAGCATGCTGAATGTAGAGATGCTGCTGGCAGATGAGCACAGGATTCCCACCCCAGCCCCAGAGCGTCGACAGCCTGACATCTCTCAGTGCAGGCACTGTCTGCTTGCTCTCCTGAAGCTTCTGCCAGGCTGGAGCCAAATTTAGGGTTCAGGGATCTCATGATGGCTGCAGGAGCTCAGTGGAAGCCTGCATGATTGGGAGGAACCAGCAGTCACTGATGTTGCTGTTACAGCATCCCCACACGTAGCTCTTCTTGCTCAGCATCTGCTTCAGTGCCTTCCAGCAAGCAGCAGAGCTGTCATGGGTTTTCCAAGTTCTTCTGGCCACAAGGGTTAGCTCTTCTCCCACTCCCCTAAGGCTTTCCAGCAAGGAGGGACCTTGTGAACGCCTGGGCAGGTGAAGTGGCATCTCAGTCTCAACAGGAGCCACCAACTGGGGATAACCTCTCTCAGCAGCCCCCTCCCCAGCGGTTGTTTGGTGGAAAGACACTGTGCAAGAGGGAGGAAGGGAACAGTGGGTCCAATTCTGCTCTGTTGTGAGCAGAAAAGAGGTGGAATAACTCTTTCAGTCCATGGGCCACTTGCGTGTGAAACTGCTGTAAGGCACTTTGGACTGAGAGGAGGTGGGGGAAGAGGTCTCTGATGAGTTTGAAGGGGAAAGGGGAGGGAAGAAGGAGAGAATAAGAATCTAAATGGATTAAGCCTGTCTGTCCAAAGTCCTTTGTTTCCTGCCACCTCCCTGGTGTGACTTTCACAGCTGTGTTCTGTGTGGCTGGGGACCTGGTTTTAGGTTCCCTGCAAAGTCAGCATGGAGCTTTACACCTCCTGGGCATTTCCCTGAGCAGCTGGAAGAAGGTGCAGGAGCCAAATCCCCAGGACAGAGGAAACCCCTTTGATTTCTCTTCTCTAATGTCTTTTCTCTTCTCTCTGTAGGTGATAGCCTCATGAATTGATGTCTCCAGCATCACTGCTCAGTGGATGACAAATGGGGATGCATCCCCATCAGGCAAGTCTCTGTTCTCACCCTCTCACTTTTGGGATTCCCCTTTCCTTTGGCCCTGGCATCTTTTTTTTTTTTTTTCTCCTGGGCAGCCAAAGTGGGTGTTTGTACAGGTGCTGGTAGGTGCAAACAAGTCTGGGGGTCATGCGCAGTGAACTGCCCTTGCAAACACCAGTGATCAGGAGTATTTCTTGAAGAGGCTTTGAATTATCTGTTTCTCCTCCTCATCTGGTAGCCCCAAGCATGGGCATGGGGAGAGCACAAGAAGAGGATGCGGAGTTAGGGGAAATTTGACCCTTGGGTCTGGGCGCACAAGTGAAAAGGTAAAGTAATATGCAAAGTAAAGTAATATGTAAAAATTTCTGTTGGTCAGCAACATGCTTTGCTTCAAAGCTCTTTTTAGCTTTTCAAGATCTTTTAAGTGAAAATGGCTGGAATTGTGCAGGCTGTCCTGGATCCAAACTGTGCACCTTGAAAATGCCAAAACATTTGATCTTTCTGCCAGACTTCAGCTGAACTAGGCCAATGCAAGTCTCACTATGAATTTCCAGAAAGTTTTGCTTCATCCACTACTACTTATTTTGCATTTATTTGATTTTGCCTTTAAAAAAAACCACCTTCCTTGACCTTAATTCTGCGTTAACCCAGAGGTGCAGAATCTGCCAAGGCTGGGATCTGGCTGGTGTACTGCCCTTAGGAAACCAAGGGGCATGAGTGGAGCAGAGCACCTGGGCTGAGTGCATGACTCCCTGCAGGGCTGCTGGGCTGGCACCACTGCCTCCTCCAACCCAGGAACAAGGAAGATGGTCGCGGGACTCTCCTGCCCCCCGTTTTACAGAGCTGCACTGGCTCTGCGCTGCCAACGCGGCTCTTTCACAGCAGGGTCCAGTCCAGGAGCGAGTCCCTGGAGGAGCTGCTAAGGCAACCCCGTCCCCCATGTAGTTCGCGCTGCAGCTCACATGGTGCGCGAGCAGCTGTGGGGTTGTGCAGCTCTTCCTTCCGCTTCTCCCCCTGCAGCCCTGGTGCAGCTGTGGCCAACTCTGGGATTCAGCCCCGGGAAGCAACTCCCTGCTGGGCCGTGGTCTCGGCAGGGCAGGGGCAGGCTGCAGCCCCGGCAGAGGTACGCCACAGTGTTTGTTGTCTAATCATCTCCTGCCCCCGTGCCAGGAGCCGAGCGCACACAAACACTGCCGGGCTCCGGTGAGAAGCGCTGCCTACAAGATAAGCCAGGCAAGGAAAACACATCCATCTTCATGTCTCTTGGCCTGAGATGGAGTTTCATCTGCTGGCATTTTCCTGGCGTAGGCTCAGGGCACACCACAATTCACCTGAGGAGCCAGACGCTGGGGAGCCAGCTCCTATTCCTGGCAAGAAGTGTCAGCCCCGACTGGTGCAGAGTGCGACGGCTGCGAGGAGCTGGCGGTTGAGGCCCTGTTGGTGCCTGGGGAAGGGTGCTGACCCCGGGCTGAGCCCCTGCAGCAGCGTTGGACCTGGCTGCACATCACCAACAGTTGTGTTCCTCTCCTGAGCAAAAGGGCAGGACTCCCTGCCCAGACTCCCTGTGCCCGGCCCTGCATTGGCACCCCTCAGAGCCCAGGGTAAGAGCTTCCAGCCAGCAGCCTGGACAAAGCAGCAATGACTGGGAAGATACAGAGCCGAGCAGAGACTCAGCTCCAGCCTGCGGCTGCTCGGTGTCTGATAAGGAGGCTGCTAGTGCTGTCTTGCAGCGCTCCCAACCTGCCAGCTCTGCGCAAATGAAACGTCCTGGTGAAACGCCCCCCACCCTTGGCTCCCTCTGATCCCCTCCAAAGCTGAGCTGAGACTGGAATGTCTCCTGGGATGTGATTCCCTCTAGCCTAAGGGGGACTGTGTTAATAAAACCCAGCGTGAGATGTGGAGGCGATGGGGGAGGAGGCAGGCAGGGCTGGTGAGATGAGGCTTTTATGAACAAGTCGTGGGTCTGCTGCAAACATCCCATCCTGTCCTCTCTCCCTCCCCCTGTCCCTGGAGCCGAGCTGTGGAATTCAGGGTGTGGGTCGAGGCTTTTCTTCACGCACGTTTCTGCTCAGAGCAGCCAAACCCCTCACCTCCCTCCCTCTCCCCCTTTCTCAGCACCTCCCTGGAACAGGTACCACTCCCCCAGCCTCACTCGGCTCAGCCTCCCTCCTGCTGGGACCATCCTGCCCCTCCGCATTGCTCAGGCATCATCTGGGGGTGTGCTTTTCCTGTGAAGAGTGGAAGGTGTCCATCCCTGGGATGTGCAGGCCAGCTTGGAAAGCCAGGGCCAGCAGTAGCAAGGAGAGAGTGCTCCCCGCACCTCCGTAGGACTGGGGAGCGGCTGTGCTCATGGCAGGGAAGTAGCTGGGCTGGTTGATGCTGGATGAGCAGAACCAGGCATCCACAGGGCAGCTGCCCAACATCAGACTGCATTATCACAAACTCAGTGTAGAAGCCTCAGATCCAGGAAAGCAGCCAGGGACCAAACTTGAAGAGTCTGAAGAACAGTCTAAAAGGAGCACCACGAGAGCTTGCACACGGCTGGGAATGAATCCAGCAGGGCATGCACAGTGAGCTGCAGA